GGTTTAGGGTTCAGGGCTTAGGGAAATGTGTTGTTAGGGTCTAGGGTAATATGAGCTGGTTCGGTGTACGCCGGATTCCAAGTTGTTGCCATTCACGATTCCCGATTTTCCATACGCCGACACCCTTTGGAATGCAGAAGGCCCCTAGACCCTAACATAGGGGGCGGGGGTCGAAATGATTTGTCATACCACCATTGCAGTCCCTTTCTGTCTGTGTATATATATATATNNTATATACATATGTATAGAGACAGAGACAAACACACACACATACCACAAAGCCCTGTTCTAATTATGTAAGTCGAGGATCGCGACTAGACGGGTTTGATGTGTTGCGGGTTAGAGCTTATTGGGTTTACTGGGGAGGATGGACTAAACACGGGATGCTATCTAATTGTTGGAATAAGGCCTTGGAATACATATGAGTATATTCTGTACACCCCAAACAAGAAGTCATAGGATGTCATAGAAAGCCCTTAAGCAGTAGACTAGGGCATTGGGGGTATACTTTAGTATTTTTGTAGGGACTACGACAAGATGCGATTACTGCTTGCTTACTTTGTTCCGGCCTCTTTTGATTTACGGAAGCCGCATGGACACCGAAAGCTTGCAGCAACAAGACTTCCATTGGCTAGCTGGGCTCTTTAACGCCTTGAGAGCTATTCTTAAAATGGATTAAGATCCCCTTAGCCCAACTATGGGAAAGAAAAAGTTTTTTCGTCATGCACAAACGGCCTGTGCCGACTTTGAACCAGTCTTCGGTGATGATGGCTTCCGGGCTGAAGGTATCCAGCTCCCTCAGGGACGAGTCTTCGTCGTGCAGATTAGGGGTTGACGGTGTCGGGCTTCGGGCATGCTTCCAGCTGTAAGCACTCAAAGGCCGCAAGCCAGTTGCGAACCCTACACCCTCAAATCAAAACTCGAAAGAAACTCTGACTGCTACGTCGCGAACCCTCGGCTCGAGAAACCGCATGCAAGCGAACAATGATATCAAACAGAGCCTATCTCTCAGGGTCAGTGGAACAGTGTGCAGAAGCTTGTCAACTGTGAGGATGGAGTGCGTGGGGTCTCGATGACTTTGGATTCTTTGTCTGGTCACGGAGCAGGGTCGGTCAAGGCGCATGCGGGGCAGGGGGGTGGGGATGAACTCACACTATGCCCTCCTCGTCGCATGCACCGGCCCCCTACCGCAACACCCCAATCTCTCAACTCCAAGCCCAAGCGCCCCAAAAACCATAAATCCGAGACCCTGAACCGTAGTTCCCAAAGCGCTCTGGGGGAGAAAACTTCGAATAGCAAAGATTGAACACTGGAAGCTTACACACCCAACTCCTGAACCTGTCAGACTGTCCATGTTCTTTTGGCCCGACAATCCAAGCCTGCGCCCCCTGTACTCTGTAATTCCACCAGACCTAATCTAACATGGTTTAGCTTAGGGTTTAGGGGCTTTAGGGTTTAGCCCAGAGTTTTTGTAAGGCTTCCTGCAAAACGAATTTAAAACGCTGCATTTTGACCAAAGTGTCTTGACTTGGGGTACATACTCTTAAGGTTAGGGCTCCGGTACCTAAGTAGTAAGTGACTGGGTTAGATAACGATGTGCAGTCTTAGGTAATATAGAAGCCAAAATAACTATCAGTATTATTCCTTAGGGCTCCTTAT